ATTATTAAACCCCCCCAACAAGTCCGGATCTGAATAAACCGGGGGGTCCCTAATCAAGTTCGGGAAAAGTTGTTTGGGGGGCCCGGGCCCTTAAACCCTTAACCCTATGCTCTAAACCCTGGACCCTAAGCCCTGGACTCTAAAGATTTGAGTCTAAAGATTTTCTGAAGCTAGCATGCACTATTCCGTTCCTGCGTTGTTATAAATCCGTTCAGCTCGGATTTAGCTCTAATACATACCCATTTTCATTATTCCGTTCAGGCCCGATTTAGGTCTATTACGACCCCCCTTACTAATCTGAAGTTGACATTACCTATACCCATACAAAACATGCACAAGAGTTTTCTTCCCGACGCTGTCTATGCCACGTAGCATCCTAAACTGCCTCCTGATGTAGTCTGGGAAGCTACGTTCCCTCGAGGTCTAGAGCCTAAAAAAGCATGGCCAGGGCACGTCGGCGCCACAGCCTCCAACGTCGAGCAGCGCTTCGAAAACATCGGCTGGGGCCACTCTGCTGGACGTGTTAGCAGATTTGAGGGTTTGGGGTGCAGAGAGCCCAAGTACCTATACTGCATGTGCTCTCCGGCACCCAAGATCTGTCGAATTCAGGGCTACTTGGACGCCTCAAGGCTGTTCAAGAGCGTGTTGGTTGTGGCTGGTCATCTCTTGCAGGGTGTTCTGGGTGTGAAGAATTCCGGTGCACGGCAACACGCCCCACAGGTCGAGTTTAGGAGTCTAATTATCAGATTTGATTTTGCCAGACTTCTGGGTCGAAGATGCTAGGTCCATGGGTAGATGCAGAAGCCGGAATTTGGGGGTCAGCACACCCTAAGGGTCCAAGGACCCAAATAATCGGGCTTTAGAGGGCCCAAATACCATCAATAGTCCCGAGGACCCTTAGGGACAGGTTTTTTTTATGAGAGCCTGGCTCGGGATGGGATCGTTTTTGTCGAGAGTGCAGACCGGATGGACCCGGGGGTTTCCCAAAATTGGGGGGGTACCAAATTTTGGGGGGTCCCTATAATAATGAGTATAGTATTTTGGAGTCTATATTGGGGTCCCCTTATTTTGGGAAACTACCATCTCTTGCTCTGTGGCGCACTGTGCGCGCTGCTTTTGATAGTAAACGTGGGCATTCGCGCAGACACACACGTACTAGGTGACCGGGCTGGCCCAAGCATTGAATCTGTCCTCCGCATGGTTGCCTCAACTCCTCATTGCCAGATTCAGCACGCTCAGGAGCTCGTTTGCAACAAAGCAAGCTTCGTATAGAGAGACATTCCCAAATGACAGCAACTTCCATGCAAAGCCGGACCGGAGCGCAATGACCTGAACAGAAGCACCGTTGGCTCCGGAAAGAAACTATACCCCAAGCACTGAGCGCAACTGCCAGGTGATAAGTTTGAGAAGCTGATGGAGACTTTGGATGAGGCCCCTGCTGTGTCTCAACGTGCCAGCCATGATGCTTAGCATCTGGAGGGTGCGGGCCTTCGGGTGCAGGGTAGCAGCTCCGCTGCATGCTTTCAGATCCTTAAGACTTTGCTAAGCTCTTGATTTGCCATCGAAGTATTTGTGGGCAGCCGCCGGCGAAGTTCAACCATAAGTCAAACCTGGGCCCTGTCAAAACCCACAGAACTTCGGTCTTATGATATCAGCTTCATCCTCCGGCCCTATTAGTTTCCGCTTCAATTTCCAGGTGATTTTCCATTTGTTGCTCCGCTGTGGGTGATATCCGATATATTCTCCATATTACCCCCAAGTTTCAAATTAATTTTCCATTTGATTTCCCATGTGTGGAGAGCCCATGGTCCAGGTGAAGGCAAAGGATGGTGGCCCTGGCAAGACCATCGTGTTCGCCAACTCCAAGAGGGAGGCCTTTATCTTGGTGGTTTACAATCGTGATGTATGGGCCTTCTTCAGAATGTTGCTGAGGATGTCTAATCATGTATGTAGGAATATGGATGAGGATGTAGAGTTCTGTAGTTAGGAAAAGGGATGAGCATGCATAATCATGTCTGCATCCGATGCTTTGTGTGGCCTCTCGCAAGCTTATCCATGTGGACTCCGAAGAGGCACGTACAATCTCGTGGGCTTGCTCAGAATGCCGTGGAGCAGATCATCTTCTGAGTTTCTAGAGATTCCGAACCCACTTGTGTGGAGTTGCAGACCTGCTAGTCATCAAGGCATTATTGGAATGCACAATGGTCAGGATTTCCGAGCTTTCGCGGGGTCTTGGGTGCAGGTACAGTGAAGAAACAGGATGAGGGAACCCTCGATTTCTTAACGATGAAGCCTACAGTTGTTTATCAAAAATATTCGAGCGGACTTTGAGGGTACCCTCGATTTCTTAATATAAATTTTCTCAATTCGGGAATTTGGGAAAAGGTATTTAAGAAATGGAGCAGCTGTGGTACTTCATATTAAGAAATGGAGTAGATGTAGTATTTCTTATCAAAACTGAGAGATATCAAAATCGGCGAAATTGGCAAATTGAGCCCCTCAATTTCTCAAATTTACAAAAACGAGCCACTCAATTCTTAATTTGTTTTTTTTTGAAATCTGGTCAGCTTATCAATTTGGAGAAGAATTGGACCATCTCAAATCATTTCTATAAGCAGCCCGATTTTAACCAATTGAGAGATTTCAAAAACGGCCAAATTAAGACATTGCGCCAAAAGTAAAATAGATTAAGAAATTGTTTCTCAGGGCACCCTCGATTTCTTAATTTCTGTTTGCCCTGTACTTTCGGACCAAAAAATACATTTATATATATATATATGCGCGGCCGCCGAGGGGCTCAATTTCTTAAACCAATGATTTCTCAAACAGTGTTGTTGCGGTATATCTACATGCGGGAGCGTTCTACTTGAGAAGCAGAAATGTCCAACTCGCAATTGAGGATTTGGGCTTTGGGTGTGGGATTTGTGGGGCTGCGGGTGTTTCAATGTAGGATTTGAAGAGTTCCCCATTGCATGCTGCGCAGGTTTGGCACTCGGTTGATTGGGTTGGGATGCTTGGCTTGTAGGATGATGGCTAATGGCTCAGTCAAGGGATGTTCGTGGTTCTGTGCTTAAGGACTGTTTGCAGAGTTTTTAGTCTCAGAGTGGAAGGCACCGCAGATGACAGGCTCAATATAGATGGCGCTTGTTCTGACAGACGACCGCCTCTCCAAAGGGCATTTTCAGAAACTTGCAATATGGATTGTCACCGCGGCCGACAAGGAGAATCGATTTTGGGGTGTGGTGAATCTGACATCATCTAGTGAGCCAAGAGAGCTTCTATGACAAATTCATGTTCTTCCCACAGGACAGCGGGCAGACGGGCAGACGGTTTAGGGTGCAAAAGTGACGTTTTTTTTTCAAAACCGCATGGATTCCTTCTATGCTTGTGGTGCTCAATCTTCATGTATTAGCAACTGCAGGTGGACGACATCTGCTACCGGCTCCAGGATATGCGAATCCGTTGCACTAGCATGCATGGAGGCGCGCGGTCAGCACAGTCGGCACGCGCATGGGGGCTAGCCAGGGAAGCTGGGTCATGCAAGCACTTATCTGCTGACTAAGGCCGGCTTTTTATGTCTGGAAAGCCTACAGAGTTCTTGCGTGATTATCCTGTCCTGGGAACCCCTCTTGCATGCTCTTTTGTGTAGGGCCCTTGGCGATGACGAGTGTCTGTCTGCAGCTGCTGCCCTGTAGGGTTGCTGCTGAGTTACTGTATGGAGCCTTTGGTCTAGAAACTTGGAAACACAGTGCCTGTGTGCCAGGCGTTAAGTGTAGCACCGGAACAGTACCTGGTTTGGCTTCAGCGGCGCTTGTCCTGCAGCCTGCTTGCGTAGTGCCAGGTTCCGAATTGCAGACGCTCCTGACGCTAGATCTATCAATGGTAGGGTTTAGGGTTATGTAGGGGTTATATAGGGATAATGGACAAGAAAACGCAAGCTACTATTTAGGGTTTGGGGTTTAGGTGTGCCAGCAAGCATACGACAAGATCACCATGCCTAATCCCTAGATAAAGTGTTGAAGCAGCTTCTGGAAGACAATGCGCCTACACCGGTTTCAGAGCACGTCATCCAACATGGCAGTTGAGGTTTTGCTGGCTTGCCATCCCGGCACGGCAGAATAGCTCATAAATCATGAGGCAATATTTCAAGCGGTTGGGTCTTGTTTCTGTTGCTCCTGTTAGTTTCTATAATTACCGCATTTACATGATACCCCATGTACCTTACTCACCCGAAGGGCTGGGAGTACCTGCACGGCATATACTATATACTAAGCCCGAGAAGTATTCAGAAGTGTTTACTCCATAGTTGTACAGGGATGTACTCAGACACTTGGGCTTGCTTAAGTCCTGCGCAGGCGTGAGCCAGAACCAGCGAGATAAGTCGCTAAACGCACTGCGCAGTGGACGCGCACACGTGCCGGCCCCAGCACGCGCGCTGCTGCGATCCAACTCGATCATACGGGTACAAGTAAAAGGGTATATGTGACTTCTGGTATAGGTACAAGCTTCGACATATGCATGACTTGGTATGCTTGTCGCTCTGTCAACCTTGCTGTGGTTTTGAGGACATGAACCTTCATGACCCCCTTACCCAAACCCTAGAAAGTGTTCTGCTAAACCCTAACCTTTGAACCCTGGAAATTAGGGTAGGATGGAATACTCCTTGTACACCCTAGGTGCTGGTAGCGACAGATGTCGCCGCCCGCGGCCTCGACCTTCCCGGCATCGACCATGTGATCAACTACGACCTGCCTTTGACCCATGGCTTGGCAGGGCTATTATGAGGTTTAGGCTAAGGGTTCAGGTTGCCTTAGGGGTTTCGGGTTGAGGGTTGTTCTTTAGGGGCTTCCGTTTTCTTTGGTTTCTTTAGTGGTCTAGGGTTTAGAGTCCCTTAGGGGTTTAGGGTTTTTTGGGGGTTTAGGGTCCGTTAGGTCTTTAGGGTTTTTTCAGGTACTGAGAGCTTAGGGTCACCTGAGGGTTTAGGGTTTTTACCGGTAGGATTTGGGGTTAGGGTTCATTAGGGGGATGTGGGGACAGAACAACTTTGCTTTGCACGTCAAGGGTTTGGCTGTGCCCTGATTCTTGCCCTCCGTGGCATTTCATGTTGCTACGCCGGCCTGTGCTGCTATGGGCGCTTCTTATTGTTCATGGGATGTTGGTCACTGCTTGGAAGGATACCACAACACCCAAACACTTTCCTGAAATCTGCCCCCGTGCAAAAGGAACGGGGACGACTACGTTCATCGTGTCGGGCGGACCGGCCACTGGACTGCAATCCTGCTCGCAGCAGCGCTGGCATAGATTGTGATTCAGGGTTGAGGGGGGAGGGTCGGCGGACATTGCGGATGTGAGAATCACTCTGGCCAGGAGGTCGGCGTGCTTGTTTGACATGAGCTGACAGCTCACTGGAGAAGTCATGGGGGGGGTGGTCCTCTTGCGCGTCGTGCCCCAAATCCTTGAACAAGAACAAGCTCAACCCTCTTACGCAGGTTCCTGGTATGGATCAGTAGGGAAGTGTGCACCATGTTTTAACAACATCCTTTCACCCATCTGAAGGGGACAGCAGCGAAACTTCGCACGTGTGATGCTTCAGGTCGCATTGGCAACAAGGGTGTGGCTACCTCCTTTGTAGGCTCCAAGGAGCCGGCATTGAAGGACTCCGCGTGGCCGCAGGGTATGAAGTTGAACGTTTAGGTGCCGGTGCAGGATGCGAGGTTTGTCGGCTTGTCAGAATGAACCTGACCTCCTGAATGCCTCGCCTGCCACCGATATGTACCGTCAGAACTTGAAAGGTTGGATTTCAGGATCCGCGTCACTAGCAGTTCAATACATGGCACTTCGGATTCTTTGGTGGTCTTGATGGCGCGGCCACATCATGTCAAGTGCTAGAAACACTGGGGTCACAGTCACCCAGCACTAGCGATTCAGCGTAGTCAGGCCTCATGAGCTATGCCCGGAAGATCCGTGTAGGTAGCTCGGCCTGCTGGTGTTTCCAGGAAATTGTGCGATCCCTGAGAGATGCCAAGGAGGCCTGCGCAACGGTTTGTCTTCATGGAAGTGTCTTGTTGTGCAGGTCATAGATGTTCTTCTCTTAGATCCGAAAGAGCAACAGCTTGTTCTGTACCGCTGCATCCTTTAGCTCACAAACGGAACTTGAAAGCGCCAGCCTGGGGTCTTTCTGTTTCCATCCAGCTAGTCAGAGTTCTGAACTATTCACATCGTAGAGTTTGTTTAGAAACGCTTTTCAAGATCTGTGAGATCCCGCTGGGATTCAGTTGACATGGTACAACGAATTTGCATTTGGGCGCATGGTTGCAGTCCTGAACTTCGGGCTCATTTTTCGGTCTAAAACGTGCATCATGGTCCCTGGTCGAAGGTTGTCTAGCAGAACATGGATGGCTCAGGCATTTGATCAAGAGTGCTACCTTGCCAGGGCTTGATTTCCCAAACTAGGCGTTAGGAACCATCACCTCGAAGCTTGAATGAATCGCAGGATATCGCAGGCCTTGACAGATCATTCGCGTCCGGCAAAAAAAAAGCTTTGGGTGAAGACACTGTCAACGTCCTTCGCCCTTAGCTGCAGCACCCTAATCTCTTTGGCTTCTGGAGACCATGCTCATCAAATAGGTGTGTCTGCGGGGCTTTTTCATTTTTTGCCTTGCCGACTTATCTAAAGGGACTTTAATGGGACCCCCAAACAGGGAACCCCAAGAATATAGTAGGAATATTATAGGAATATACTTACCAGGGTCCTCATATTCCATCATATTCCTACTATATTCTTGGGGTTCCCTGTTTGGGGTTCCCATTAAAGTCCCCCCTTATTATTGTTCCAAGGTACAGGCTTGAGAACTTCCGCGTTTGTCACCGGCACTTCATGCACCCGGCACCTCGAGCAGCTGTAGGCCTCAAAGCCCCACGCAGCCCTGATCCTAAACGAAAGTAAGCCTCTTCACCAACAATATCAGCTATAGTCTAAACTCGTAGTATCCTCCTTAAGAAGCCCTAATTATCAATAATACTCCCCTTTGGAATCCCCTATATAAACGCCTTTAAGGAGTTTAGAATATAGCTCTAATATCCGTAGTATCCAGGAGAGACATACAGCCTTGAAATCTAGCCCTAAACCTGAAATGGTGGTTTCCATTTTCCATTATCCCATTATATCCCCATATGAAGGGGGGGGGGTAACCCTAAACCCCAAGCCCTAAACCCTAACCCCTTGCATCCAGGAGGATGAGACAGCAACGGAGGTTCCCAGGTGGTTAGAGGAGACGGGGGCCAGGCTTCAAGCAGCCTATGTATTACCACGTACGATCACATACCATGCATGGCTGTCAGCTTCCCGGTGTCCTCTTGTGGCGCTTTGAAGCACTACAAATAAAACGTTGCCTTGTGGCGCTTTGAAGCACTACAAATGAAACATTGCTGGCGTGAACTGGAACTCCATTGGAAGAACAGCCGTTGAGCAGCATGCTACAAATAAGTTGTGAACATAGTAGCTTTCTTGGTCCATTGCTTGTTCCTGCGCGAGGGGCTAACTCAGACATTGCACTAGCCTTGAGATGGGAGCCATATTTGGAAAGGCGGAGGCACAAATGTCGGACCCTCTTCGTCAAGGGGCTTGGTGAAATAGCTTCAGGGAACTGGCCAGCACAAGTAGAGCACACGTGCCAGAACAACTTGTCTCTAGCAGGATGCTGACTCGTCAAGTCAAGTTCTGTTTCAGTCTTAGACGAGGAGTACTTGGAGTACTTGCGCAGGGAAAGCTGAAAGCTTCAAATTCTATGATTGTTGTCTCAGTCGTGTTCTGGTCCCTAGTGTCATGCTGGCTGTCATGAACCCCTGACGAACAGTTAGGTTAATGCCAAAGCTTGGTGGAGGGAATGTATGGGCAGTAATTTGGAGTCTTCGAGTTCAAGCCCGTTATTAAACTTCATAACCCCTTGACTTGATGCAATGCCCGCGTGGCGTGGCACAGTCTGCTTGCAGCTCAACAACTTCCATCCACTGATCTAATTGATCTGTTCTGATGTTCTTGGTTGTCTTCTGTGAGCTCGGCGAAAAGCCGCGTAGAAGGGTTCTTCGCCAACTCAGATGGGATCTTCACCCTTTTTGGGAGGATGGACTTCAGTATGCTCCATGAGTTTTTTGGATCTTATGCAAAGTAACGCAAATCTTGACACATCGGGGCTTGTCCAGAGGTGGGCTCACAGTTACGGTTCCAGTCTGGGGTGCCGCCATTTCCAGCACTGATGTGAGCACCTGTTGCGCATCGGGTCTGCGGAAGCTCATGTCCAACTCAACTCATTTCACATCTAGGGCTTGCAGGAACCAGGCCTCTTCTGGATACCCTTCATCATATAGCACGGCCTGAGTACGGACCCTAGTCTCGAAAAGTGTCCATGCTTTCCAGATACATCTTTACTTGTAATGCAGCTACCTTAGAAGCTGAACCAACGCAAACGACCTTGGAGTCTTAGAAGCCTAAGTTACGTAGGCTCATCTAGCAGACTGGTACTCACGCCCAAGATCCAGCAGCTTTCCAAAAAAAAAGCGGTCCGCTTTTGGCACCTATGGGGTCTACCATCCCTGCTGAACAGGAGATGGCCTTTTCATCACGTGGGAACTCAAGGTCTTCCTCGCGAGGAGGCAGGTCCTACGAGGGACTCGGGCCCGCTATCAGGGTTTCGAAAAAGCGGGCTTAGGAGTTTAGGGTTGAGTTTTCGTGGTGGATTTTCAGGGTCTAGGATCTGAATTGAGACCAGGAATTCGGCGGCACTTGTTCCATTTCAGAGTAGGCATCTAGAACGTTGCGATGCATTTCCGACATACAGCGAGCATTTCGTAATGCCGGCTGGAAAGGGCCCTAGCCGTATACGATATGGTAGCAGAAAAGGTTGTCTCGCAGACGTAAAGCTGTGGCAACGAGAACCCTTGAAAGCCGACACACCGCTGGAACTTTCGTTCAGTCATGTTTTGGCGGCTCGAAGCTTCCACCCGCTTGCCCAGGCTATGGCGGCGGCTACGGCCGCAACCGCGGCTACAGCCGCGACGGTGGCTACGGCCGCGACGGCGGCTACGGCCGCGGCGGTGGTGGCGGCTATGGTGGTGGATACAGCAGAGACAGCCGCAATGGCGCAGTAGGACAGGTTTGGGTCGTCATTGTCATCCGTACTCTGCTTCTGTTAAGTTGGGGCTGTAGTGGCTTTGTGATTGCCGGGCATTCTTGCCACCTGTAAGTTTTGAGGCTGCTGTTTGCCTTGGAGATTTAGTTCTGGGCACCTCTTCAGCATATGGTTCAGCTTTGAGGGGTTATCCGTCCTCAAGCCTGAAAGGTGTCACATGGTAGGCATCGTATGGCGAGCCTGTCGCTGGGGCTTGGCAGTGGCTACGAGAAAGGTTCTAGTTAACGAGGGAAGATTCATTTCGACGGCTCATCCCTCGGGTTGAGTCAGGAAGCTTCCAGAGTTCAAAGGAGGTGCTGGAGCTTTGAGCGAGACAAAGCGGTCCCTAGAGCAAGGTCAGCTTATTTGTGGAAGACTTGAACAACTTGCCCAAATCTCGCTAAATCCAAGCCCAAGACCCCCGTACATTCCCAATCATGGTTGGGCGACGTCTTTACCCTAAGCCCCAACTGATATGCGAGTTTCCATTTTGTTTTCCATTTGATTCTCCCTACTGGGGTAGAATATCCTTAAACCTTAAATACTGTAGCAGCTTCCATTCGATTTTCCATGTTCCTTTTTCTTTGATCTTCCATTATTCCCCCAAGTCTCACAGGAGGAGGTTTCCGCAGCCGAAGTGCCAGTCCAGGCTACCGGGGTGGTCGAGGTGCGACTCTTAATTGGGATTCAGGAGCTCACTTTAAAATATCTAGGGGTCCATAAATAATGACCAGTTTTATGGCTGTAGATTCTAGATTCCTTGTATAAGGACTCCGGGCTTGGGGCTTAGAGTCTGGTGAGGCGGAAGGGAGGACAAAGGAGACGAGGGGTGAGTGGAGGGGTAGGGGAAGGGAGGTGCATTGTTCAAAGTTGCGAGATCGTTGTTTAGGGGTTGCCATTTGCTAAAGCCATGTGTTGTGTGTTTTCAGATTTCATGGGGTTTGAGTCACAGCTTCGGAGGGCTTCAAGGAACTCGATGGTGAATGTTGAAGACTGTAGCCCAGAGAGTAGCGGCTAACCTGTAGTTCTTGAACCCTCAAACGTATAATTCTCACATTTGGGAATCATGAAGGGGGGTGGGGAGGGGGGGATTATAGTTAGAGTTAGGTGAAAGGATTAACTTGTTTGGTTTTGTTTCGGGACCCTTATGCTGAGGATAGGGAGAACATGTGAGCAGAAATGGACCATCCGTTCCGGATCGAAGAAGGCTTTAGGCTTCAAGATCTTCACCTTCAGGGGGGTGAGTAGGGAGTATAGAATACATTATATAGGGATTACATTGGGAGTATATTCCCTTATCCCCTATTAAGAACCAATAAGTCACAGGAGCAAAGCAGATTACCCTGAACTGGGTTGCTGTCAAGCAATATAAAAGTATTTCTATGATAGGGAAACGCTCGTATTTACTATATTATACCAATATTATGATAACTTGACTTAAGTTCCTTCGCAGCTATCCGGTAAAGTTTCTGGTGTAGTTCGCCATGC